GGAAGGGGAGAACAAGGAAATACGTGGCTGATATGTAGAACTGAATTGTATTGTAAAATAAAATTTAAAAAAATAAAAAGGACCCTTTCTGCATGCATGCTTGTTCATTTTTGTTTAGGATAGTTTTATTTTCTCTATCCCTCTTTCATATATGAGAGAAGAATAAGGTCCAACCTTTGTATGTGAATGTCGGGGAACAAAGTTTCCCCTCTCAAGGACCCCTACACCCCTTATTTGACAGGGTATATTCTTCTTTTGCTGACCCTACACTAGCTGAACTGTGTGTTCATCCAGGGATTCCTGTGTTTCTGCCTCCCACCTGACCACAGGAACATTGTAAATACAAATGCATGCTACAATGCTCAGCCTTTTGTGAGTTATGGGGATTTGAACTTAGGTCCTCAGGCTTGCACTCTAAGCACTTAAAAAAAACTGAACCGTGCTGGAGAGATGTCTCAGTGGTTAAGAGCACTTGACTGATCTTCCAGAGGTTCTGAGTTCAATTCCCAGCAACCACATGGTGGCTCATAACCAATTGTAATGGGACCAGATTCCTTCTTGTGGTGTGCATGAAGACAGAGCACTCACATACATAAAATATATAAGTAAATATCTCTTAGAAAAAAATGTACTCAGTGATGTTTCAAGACCACAGCACATTTAAAAAACAAAACAAAACAAAACAAAACAAAACAAAACCCTGAACCATCCCCCAAACACATGTATATTTATTTTTGCCAATGATGGAAGCTGCTAGGAGCAGTTTGCTGGTCAGATAACATACTCACCCAGTATGAGGTAGATGTGAGTAGATGCTAACCCCTGAGTTTCTGAGAAATTATTGGAAAGAAAACTATTTCCCATGGTCCTTATTCTCCCCACTGAACAGAAGACCAGAGTAAAAGACCATGAAGGCTGAGATGGCAGACTAAGGTTATGATGGTTGAGGGTACTTATGGTGGAGACCATCTCATGGGTGTCAGAGATAAGGTCAGGTAGCAGGACCACTCCACTCTGCATAATGGCTCTGTGGAAGAGTCCTTTGGACATGGGGGACACAACATGTGAAGACACACTTGTGCCACCTGCAGACTCACCAAAAATGGTGACCTGGTCAGGGTTTCCTCCAAAGTGGGCGATATTCTGCTGGACTCAACATAGGGCGGCCACTTGGTCCAGGTAGCCCCAGTTGCCTCTGGTGTGTTGGTCTCCAGTGTGAGAAGTGGAAGGAACATGGATCAAAGGGCTGTCGAGGTTCTTCTCAGCTGACATTGCAGAGCCCAGCCCTGGAATCACCTGAAGAAGCCCAGGACACCTAGGTGATACTGGATAGTGACCACCACCACGTCCTCAATGGCTGCCAGAGTGGACCCATCATACATGGAAGCCATGCCTACAACTAGTGCACCACCATGGATCCACACCATCACCTGGTGAAGTCAAGAGAGATTCCAGCAAGCTCCTAGACAGCCCAAGCTCTTCAGGACTGCTTACTAGAATATCAACTGCTGTGCCTCTGTACAGCTACACAAATACATAAAGATTCTCAGCACTTCAGGGCCTTGGTCATGGCCAGGGGCCTCTAATAGCCCCATCAGTGTATATCTAGTCCCCATCCCTGCCATGTATCTCAGTTTGAATTAATGGTTCTATGTATACAGTAATCTCATCATTACTCAGGCTCTTCATAGTGGAACTTAGATGGGAGTCTCCATGGATATCTCTCCAGATTAAAAATGGAAAGAATCATCAACTCTCATTGGTATAACAGATAATCCAAAAGAAGAAATGGGTGACCTCAATGTTGAGCCTTGAGCACCTAAGCAGTTCTGCAGGGCTCAGTTTGGAGAATGAGTCCTGGTTTTATCAAATAGCTAGAGCCTTTGATCACTCGGTGCTCCAGTGTTTTGTGTCCCTTACCCAGGTTTCATCTGCATAGTGTGACTGAGAAGGCCTTTTTTGACACAAATAGTGTAAAGCTTCTCAACAGGGTCCACACTGCAATGGAGCTCAGGTTGTTTTTTGTCCCTTCTAGTCATCTTAGAAAAATATACCCTGTCCCCAAAGTGACTATGACCTGACACTCAGAGGCAGGTTAGAGCCCTCATGGGCATGAGCTGGTGTGTAGATGTTGAGATGTAGGCAATCCTCAGACATAGAGATGGGAGGGAGAGTCAGTTTCATATCCTTCAGGCCCTCTGCATTCATCATACCAAAGTTTTGCAGACACCTAATGGAAATAACACAGATATCCCAAGAGATGTGTAGTGGTCAAAAACAAATTTGAGTCTGGATCTTTCCTCATTCACCTTCAGTTGCTGCTCTTCATGATGCCCTGTTAATACATATTCCCCATCTAAGGTCCTTTCCCACCAAGGTAAAGGCCACAGGCTCCATCAAAGTTTAATGGAGCCAGAATTCCAAAGAGTCCTACAGTTGACTAAGGCCTGGATGTTATCCTTTCTGAGTCTGGGATATAGAGACTTCCAGGTGTCTCTATGGAATGACAGGCTGTATGTGGTGGATGTACGCTGAATTGTTTAAGAACAGAAAAAATGACCTAAACACTAGCAGGCATGCAAGCTTTTTCTACTCTTTGTTCATAGCTGTGGATGTGATGTGACCAGCTCCTGTAATTTTCCTTCACTGTGAATTCCCCCACATGATGAATTATAATCTGGAGCCTAAGTTGCTTTTGTTGGTACTTTATTATAGCAACAGAAAACAAACTAAAATTGCAATACTGGAGTGTTGTATCCACAGTTGATAGAGGAATCGGTGGACACTGCTGCCCAACAAGATGGTGAGAAATCATTCATCCCATGTACAGACTCTCAGGGAACTTCTTTTTCCTACACTGTCTCCAGAGGGAACTAGTTACATATCCTTGCTCCTTGGTCAGTGGCACTTGGCCCTATAGGTTGTCACAGTGACTGTAAGGCTGGGGTTAGCAAGTAATCATC